ATTTTGAGGTTCCTTTGCCTGTCTTTTCTTTGCTTTCTTCAGAATATTTTGTAACTAATTTTTGTAGTTTTTCACGAACCTGCGCACTTGACTTGCCACCAATATGTAAAGCAGCACTTGCATAGAATTTTTCTTTATTTTACGATAACTAGAAAAATTCTCAGACAAATGAGCAAGTAATAATTTAATCGCCGAATCAGACCATAATCTATTATCAGTATTTTCATCTTTAGTTAGTGGTTGTTTATTTTTTCCCTTGGTACTTTGAGATGATGAAATAACTGGGTCATCATCAGATGAAATATATTCCACCGCAGGTAAAGTGGTACTAGACGAACTTGCTTGTTCTGTAGGCAGAGGGTCAGAAAAATGAATATATTGAGAAGTAGGTAAAGAATTATACTGCGTAAATTTTTTATTCATTTCATTAGGATACACGGTAAATGCGGGTACCGTTTGCATAATTTTTAATTGATCCATTTGAACGCAAATTTAAAAATCAGTAAAAATTTGCACGAATTAATAAATATTTATATAACAACCCCCTAATAATAAATAAAATTTTGTACATTATAAACATTCTTTGGTCTTCACAAATATACAAGCTAATTGTCACGATTTTTTATTATTGTACAAATTAAGTTTATGCCCTGATACATCTTTATATTTATCGCATGAATCATGCTAAATTGAAGTTGGAACATCTATAAATTGTATTAATATTTGATACTAAACAAAATTGTTTTACTATTTACAATAAGGTATAAATTCCTGAAATCTAAAGTTAGTATGTACTTCAAATAAGAATATATATATACTTTCGCTATCTCGGTGAATCTGGCTATAAGTAGATAGAATTATTTTCTATAAGTCAAATAAGTATGAAAATAGCCATTATTATGATCTGGGAAGAGATTCATAATGATTTATAGCGTGTAGACAAATTGGCTTTAGGTCATAAGCATCAAGGGAAGTATACCGATATTATTTATTTATGCAAACTCATTGTCAGCAATTTGGTTTGTAACTGACCCACCTAGTATCGCCACCAAAATCATGTACGTAATACGGAGCTTAAATTTATTTTTTTTTTTTAATATTCAAAGGTGAGGCCATGCCTGGCGCTT